TGTCTCTGTCTCTGTTTCTCTCTCTCTCTCTCTCTCTCTCTCTCTCTCTGTGTGTGTGTGTGTGTGTGTGTGTGTGTGTGTGTGTGTGTGTGTCTGTGTGTGTGCACATGTGTTTGTGCCTGGAACCCAGATGTAAATGTGAGGTGCTTTCCTCTTTACATAATTGTTATTGTTATTGAGACAGGATCTATAATTGAACATGGAGCTCATCTGCTGGCTAGACAGGCTGACCAAAGAGCTTTAGGGATCTGCCTATCTCCATCCTCTCAAAGTACTGGGTTTATAGACACAGCCAGGGTACCCAACTTTAACATGGGGCTAGGGATCTATTTGGGTCTTCATACTTTCAAAACAAGTGCTTTATCAGATGAGCCATCTGTCTGACCCTCCAAACTGTTCCAAGAATTTAGTGGAAGTCAGCGAGATGTTCTGAATATGCCATGCCTGCTGCAGAGGTGTTTGTATGTTTATTAAATCTGTCTCTTGCATTATTAATCAAGCTCCATCTCTCCCCAATGGGGGGGAAAAAACCCAAAAACAAAACCAAGTCCATTGGACTCTGGGGATTTCAGTGTGTTTTGTCTGTTTAATCATAAAGGAACCTGAGATACCCAAACATATTTAGAAACAGAATATAATGCTTGTTTATTTCACTAACTTAGCTAAAATTCATTTACCGTGAGCTGATATGAACTCTGGCCTGAAGATGCTCCACCTTGGATCCTTGTCTCTCATCTTCATAGAGTTCCAATGCTGAAGGGCAGATAGGCTTCTGAATGCCAACATTATGCTAGCTATAGTTTCAGGGTCCTTACAGTGAGAAGGACACCAACTCAGGCTCGAGAAGAAGGGAAGGATTCCAGAGCTGAATCAGAATAGGGGCGGTGTGGGAAGGCAAAGAGGGAACAAAAGCATTCCTGCACAGGGATTCTCTGGTGCAAAGGCAGAGGGAGTAGGAGAATGGGAGAATGTTTGAGCTATGTGTTGTTTTGTATCCAGTAAACTAGAGATAAAGAATTGCAAAGCACTGAGCTGAAGGGAGAGAGAGTGCAAGTGAGATAAGGGTGAGGAGGGAGACAGCAGGTCTATGACATCACAAGAACAGCTAAGAATGATTTCAAGAAGAGGGCAATCTGCTTACATTAGCTGAACTCAGAGATCTTTCTGTGAGCACATTGGAGAACAGATATGAAAAGATAAACAAGGAGGAAGGAGACCTGAGGGATAAGTCTGGGAAATAACTCTTTAGAAGGGAATGATGTTAGTGCCAGTCAGAATAGGTAGACTCTAGCAACAAACTTGGTAATCTACTCCTACAAAGACCTATTAGAGGTATAGGGAGCTTCACAGCATGTGGTTTAATAAAGGCCCTCCCAGTGATTGTAAAAATTGGCTGCAAATTCTTTAATGTATTTCCCTTCAAGAGGTGGAGTCAGTGTCCCTCCTCTTAAACTGGTGAGCTTCTGACTACTCTGAATAATAGAATATGGCAGAAGTGATGCTGTATGATTTCCTATGTGAGGTTTCCTGATGCAGATACCAAAGACAATTTCTTTCCTGCAGAACCTTAGACTTGTGTACTAAGTACAATTACCCAGCACTTGCATTAGTCTAAACTCAATAATTCCAAAGCTTAGATATATATTTTGGTATATTTCCAGGATATTAAAAGAAAAAAAATGTCGTTTACCTTCTTGTTTGTTTCAGGTCCTCGGAGACCTGAACCACCTTGATTAAGGTCCAGCTTCTCCATGGCTATACAGAGACATCTAAAGGAGAGTGCTTCTAACTGTGGACAGAAGAGCTTCTGCCATCTCTAACTTCATAGTCCCAGATGTGAAAAAAAGAAGCCCCAGACTAATCTCATTCCCAGATTACTCTCCCTGGACACTTTGGAAGCCCATCCAAAAGGCCATTACAGAAGAAATGAAGGCTACATTCGTTGTAGCCTTCGTCTCACCTGAATTCCTGACTCACAGAATCTGTGAGTAAGATAGCGGCTGGAAATGTTCAGTTGGTAGGTTGCTTGATAACATGTATATTAAGTCCTGATTTTGATTTCCACTACCACATAAACCACATCATATGGGAGGAAGAAGCAGCAGGATCCCAGGTTCAAGGTCATCCTCTACTACACAGCAAGTTCAAGGTCAATATGGAACATATGAAACTTTGTCTTTAGGAAGGAAGGAAGGAAGGAAGGAAGGAAGGAAGGAAAGAAGGAAGGAAGGAAGGAAGGAAGGAAGGAAGGAAGGAAGGAAGGAAACAGGAAATCAGAACATGGGACTGAACAAGGCTGGTGTAAGCCCTGAGACACGCGTACACCACACCACACCACACATGACACACTAGTGTGGAACAGAACCGCTACCACTGCTGTCCCAGCGCTGTCACTCGAGTGTTCAGAAGGATGGACAATGCATGATGCCTGCTTCTCAGGTCACTACCCCCTTCTCAGTCCCTGGGGAAAGGTTTGTCTTGTTTGTGAAGCAGGTCTGAGGTGCAAGGGGAACTAGTAGAATACCAGCCATTCTCACCATCTAGAGTGGGAGGTCGGTTCTGGCTATGGGTCAGGGGATTTGTCAAACACAGGAAAGAGGCTTCATTTGTTTGTGGGAATTGAACCCAGGGCTTGACAAGCTAGGTAAGCACTCTCTCTCCCACTGGTCCCTCTCTCTAGCTCTCTCTTTTGTATGTTTGAGACAGGGTCTTGCTAAGTTGCTCAGGCAGCGCTTGAACTTGTGAGTTTCCTGCCTCAGCATCCTGGGGAGCTGAGAGGACAGGCCTGCACTACACTTATTGCTGGAAAAGGTTTGGATCCTGAGCTGCCTAACTGAGTAACAGATGTCCACCACACAGTGCGTATTACCAAAGCCAGTGGAGAAACACAGAGTGGGGGATTCCCACCAAGACTCTGCATCCAGTACAGATAAAGGCAGAGGCCTGGACTTCAAAAGTGATATCCTGCGGCCAGTTGAATGAAGGCCAGAATCATTACCCAATATAAATTTATTTTCATCTTTGAACTTTATTCCTTAGAGAATTCCCTACTTACAGATTTCCTAGATCATGACTCACAGATGACCAAAACCCTCCAAAGGTGTCCCATCTCAAATCATTGGAATAGTCCTTACAATGTCTGCCCCACCCCCACCCTGCCTTATCACCAGATGTTTTCCTTTCAAACGGCTTACACTAGATCCCTGGTGTTCCCCAGAGCACGCACCATCCTCCTTTCCAGTGTGTTTGTACGTATTTCTATTACTGAGGCCACACATGAAATAGAAACTGGTCCCATCTACCTTCTCTTTATCCTGCATCATTATCTGCCTTAGCTCTCACCACATCCAATGGAAATATTTATCTTCTTGTCTATTGTCTGACTGTCCCCCAGAATGTTATCTACTTCAGGGAAGGGATTTGTTTTGTCAGACACTGTATCTCTAGTGCCTGGAACCAAGCCTCATTGGAACAGCTAGCATTCAGTAAACACTTGTTGAACACACTGAAGACTCATTAGATTTGATTCCTTTGTTTTGATGCAACTTGTTATCACTGTAAAACAAAGTCCCTGGCCCAGAGGGGATTTCTGTGTGGATGCATAATCATCTATGCAATGCTTTTAATAAAAAAAATCTGTACAATTTACATACAGTGTGGTGCATGCATTTTGTGTGTGTGTGTGTGTGTGTGTGTGTGTGTGTGTGTGTGTGTGTGTGTGTATGTGTGTGTATGTGTGTGTATGTGTGTGTATGTGTAGAAGAAATGCACATATATACTAGGTTGTCATTGTGATACTTACTACGCAATTACACTTGTTTTTTCACAGCACTTACCCACTTTCTGAAATTATATTATTTAATTAACTGGGTACTTACTATCTGTGCCAACTAGATCATATGCTCCAGAAAAGCAGGAGCTTTGACTTAATAACTGCCACATTTCTAACAAGCAGATAGTACCTACCATATGCATTTGTAAGCAACCAACAATGTGTGTTGAAAGAATTCAAATGTTAATCATTATTATTATCTTTTGTTATGACACCATATTTTGATTTTGGTAGATGTACAAGCACATATACTTTATATTGATTTGCAAAAACACACATAGCAACAAATAGGCCATTTGTTTGTGGCTTAGTGAATTAAGACTCCAGAATGGAGTGCCCTGTCAGCTTGCTAGGTAAAGAAGGTGGATGGGCAACTTGGTTTGAGTATTTAAGTATGATTTTGTCAAGATGCTTATATGGCCTAGTGATAAATCCATCACATTGGCACATTGGAACTAGCACATGCCTTGACTTGAAGAGTTTAGCTGTGTGTTTGTTTATTACAGACATCAGACATGTAACCGCCATTCTTAGTCTGGAAAGATAAGTCTTGGAGCTAAAACAAATGGAGGGTGAGAATTGGATCCACGGGTGTATGTGAGGGGCACAGTAAAGAAAGCACAGAGATGGCTGCTCCATGGCTAGTGGGGAGGTTTCTATTATGGATAAGAGAAAGAAAACATCCAGAGGCATCTGGAAGAGTCTAGAGCAGAGAGAAAAAAGAGCAGCCTGGATATGACCAGGGATATCTGTGAGAAAAAAAAAAGTGTATAGTGGAAAAGAATAGTGGAGATGGAGGAGAGGACAGGTAGGAGAAACCTTGTGTGTGTGTGTGTGTGTGTGTGTGTGTGTGTGTAGGATGAAATTTGGAACAACCTAGGGATTAGCATAGTGCAGGAGGAGTGTGAGAAGGAAGAACAGCCAAGAGGCTACTGTGAGAGTTCGAAATGCATCACAGGTACTTGTGCCCAGGGACTGGGGGAATCTGGAGGACAACACAGGCTTTGATACGCAATCACAGGTATATCTTTTTGGTGGATGAGAACCCCATTCACAAGTTCCTGAGGAATATTGGCTTTTATCTTCCTGCCAGAAATTCTTCTATAGGCCAGGTTGAATTAAGCCAAGACTCTCATTAGGCCTGGGACCTAACCCTGGGTAAATACTTATGAATCAGAGATGGAAAGTTTTGAGCCAGTTGGAGACAGTCACCTTAAGGATTGTTGGAAGACAGTGACTCACCTAGGGTTGGGCTTTTCACTCAGTTTAGAGATGAGCTATGAAGTTTTCTGGCTGTATTTACAAAAAAGATTCACCTTCTTTGAAACAAAACAAGACACATAATCAAACAAGAATAAGAAGAAATGGCTCTTTTGTGTTCCTAAATGGAGTGTGAAGGGATGATATGTACAGTCGTTTCTACTATCTGGAGGTCATGAGGAACCGCTTTGAAGAACCAGGATGCTCGAAGAACCATTGGAGACTGCAGAAAACCTTGCCACTTAATTATATTGGCAATTTAACCAGTCTGGGAACTTTTCCATCTCCAAGATTCTTGCATGCATTCAGAAACACTAAAGTTACAGAGTCAGATTTTTTCCCATTGACCCTGAAGTTCCTTAACAAACCATTACTTTCATACTCACTTGCTCGATATGACTCCAGAATTCCTCTCTCTTTAGTGTCTAGGGACTTCTGAATGGCCTGACTTTCTGGTAATAATTATGCCATGATAAAAGACAGTGTTTCCAACAAAAGACCAATTGTTGATTCTGTTTTTGTATTTTAATTTTAATGTACAAAATGTTATTGAATGTTTTCATCTCTCAGTGGACTCTTAATGTCCTACCATTTGAAAGCATCCTGAGAAAAAAATACTTCATACTTTCACATGTATCAAGGGAGAAAAAGGCATTTCTGTCATGTTTGTGTTCATATGCACATAAATAGCTATTGTAACAAGCGAGAATGGATTTCTCAGGATCACATTAAGAACTTAGATTTATTCCAAATGTTAGTTCTATTTTTGTGCTAATTTTACAAAGACATCCAACATTCTACTCGTCATAGAGGCTTAAAATTTCCACTTTCATCCTGATCCTTCCCAATTTTGCTCTAGATATTGTCTGTTGTCAGGCCCCAGATGACATCTTCTGAGAAATATCTCCTACGTTCCTTCTTCATGCTCTGCTCTCAGGGCGACTGATTGAGTTCAGAACCTTATCAATAAACTGTTACTCTTGTAGCCTGGCCATTGTTGAAAAACTTGCTCCTGAACTGTTTTCTGGGCCTCTACTTTTTGTTCATTTATTTTTCTCTAGCAGGTACCTGGTGTGTCTGCCCTCCTGTAAGGGAGGCCGTGCTGCCCCAAGGTGAAAGTAGTTCTTCACCAAATTCCAGGTCACCTGACCTGTCTCCAGTGGGCCTTGGATTTCAGGCCTGACCTCCAACCTTCTGTAATAGTAATACTCTAGCCTTCCAGTGGCCATTGCCTAGTCTCCTTTCCTCCCTTAAAAAAAGCAGGGGGGGGGGTATGCGTAGGGAGACACTGTAGCCCCGCCTCCTAATAGCCCCTACAGTTAAAGACATATATAGAAAAGATTTCTGATTTGATTTTAAAGGGCAAATTAAGACTTTGTCAGCTGACTGGAAAAGATCCAGCAGAAATTATAGTACCTTTAACTAATGATGAAATTTCCTCCTTATGGAAGGATAAGAATATTGGCAAATAGCTCTTACCAACTTTTTGGGAACAATTAGTAACAACTATCCCCAAACCGACAGAATTAAATTCATAAAAAAGACAGTCTGGATTCTTCCATGCATTGTAAGACAAACTCCCATTTCTGGAGTTCTTACTTTCTACACTGACACTAACAAAACAGGTAAGGCTGGTTATAAAGCCGGTGAGGTAAGTAAAGTAGTTCAAAGTCCGTACACATCTGTACAGAAGGCAGAATTATATGCAATTCTTATGGTGTTTATGGATTTCACAGAACCTCTTAATATAGTTACTGATTCCCAATATGCAGAGAGAGTTGTCTTGCACATAGAGACCGCAGAATTCATCCCTGATAATACTGAACTAACCTGATTGTTTTTACAATTACAGGAAACAATCAGAAAAAGAAGTAATCCTCTATACATTACGCATATCAGATCCCATACAGGTCTGCCAGGCCCATTAGTACAAGACAATAACAAGATTGAACGTTTATTAATTGGCACTGTGCTAGAAGCCTCAGAATTTCATAAAAAGC